CATAATAAATAAAGTAAATAAAAGCTGAAATAAATAACAACTGAATTAACAAACTGACTCAAACTGACACTACTATAACTGAAACAAATAACTACACTCCTGTCCTACGAACATAGTGGGGACCACTGCAGTGGGGCCCACATCAGTGTTCTCTACAGTAATCACCTCCTCATCTATCTTCAATTTGGTCATAATATTTTTTCTTTGTCTCCCATTTGCCAGGTCATGAAAAAATCTAGTGTTTCCATTGCCTTCCTTTATTCACTTGTGCCTAGATTTTTGTCTCCAACTAATTTCCTCTCTCAATAATACCTCTTCCAAATCGTTTTTCAATCGTCTCCTTAAACTTTTGTCTTCCTCGGTCACAAGATTTTGAGATTCCTTCATGGCCATGTTGTCTATCCGAGTGATTAGGCTCATTTTTTTTTTTTTTTTGATCAGCAAAAAGACTTTATTAATGACAGAGAAATATTGAATTACAATTACAATAGTTATAGGTTGCAGAATGCATTAACCCAATCTGCAAACACATACAAACAGTTACAGTTTTGCTCAGTTCAAGGTAGATCTATTTGCCCCCTGTTTTTCTAGGGTGTCCGCCAACCCATTTGCAGTCCTTTTGACCCAACCAAACTGAGAGTTGAACCTCCTTGCAATTATGTCAATTTCTTTGTAGATAAATTTGAGCTTCCAAGGTGCTGATGTGATGTTTTTGGCCCAAGAAATGACCAGTAGATAAATTAGGCTCAATTTTTGTTCCTCTATTCTCCTGAAATGATCCCTATTCCACTCTCTTATTTTTTCTCTCAACCTCTTTAGCTTCTTATGAAACTTGACCCCCCCCCCCCATCTCCTCACCCCACCACTCCTTCACTTTCTTCACAAAATCTGGATGAGTTAGCCACATATTTTCAAATCTAAAAGGTTTAGGTCCAATGGGAAAGGATTCCGTACCTATCTGGATAGGCAATGATCAGAGGTGACCTTGGGTAAAGCTCTAGCAACCAAGTTTTCCAAACTGTTCTCCCAAGATAAGTTAAATAAAAACCTGTCCAATTTCGAACACGGGGGGGTTTTTTGAAGGTTGGACCAAGTATAATTGGTTTGCAAAAGAGCTGTTTCCTTCAACTCACAATCTTCAATGAAACCATTAAACTTTCTCATGCTAGTTGTGATTGTCTGATGGGGGTTACTAGTTTCATCAGAGAATCTGGTTACATTAAGATCCCCACCCAAGCACTAGGGGCCATCCCATAACCCTTTGATTTCATATAACTCCTCCCACATTTCGTTTCTCTCTCAATAGGAGTTGGGGCCATACACATTGGTTAAAACCCATATGCACCCATCCTCTACATTCTTGAACTTGATGGAATTGGAAAATCTACCTATCAAGTCTTCCACTACTTCCACTACATCCTCCTTCCATAGAGTTACAATCCCCCCTGAGGCTCCCCAAGAAGGAGCCTAAGTCCAACCTCCTATACCTCTAGACTCCAGATAGACCTAACCCATCTTCCATCTAAATCCATCAGTTTGGATTCTTGTAATAGCACAGTGTTGGGTTTTTCCCTTCTAAGTAGGTCTTTGATCACCCTTTTCTTTCTTGCACTCCCTAATCCTCTTACATTCCAACTAATAATTTTCATTAGGACAAAGGTGATAACAAAATCCCATCAAGAAACCTCATCCTCCTTATTTTAGGCCCTTCCTCCTATCCCCTTTACCGCTGAATTCTAAGTTCCCCTCAATGTCCGAAATCAGCTTTTCTATTTTTGATCTTTTTTTCCTTTTTTCCCCTCCCCCTGCCTAAAACAACTGTCATCCGCTTCCTTCTCTGCATCCTTTTCAGCCATTGTAATCCTCCTCTCAGCCTCTGGCACTAGTTCTACCAATTTATTTTTTTTCCCTATTTGTAGGAAAACCAATTTTGCAGCACTCGCACTCTTTTTGGCTACAATAACTCTCTACCAATTTTGCAACACTAGTTCTACAATAACTCATTTTTTAAGTTCCTCCAACCCTGTTCATATCAGTTTCCAGATTCTATCTTCCTCCTTGTTTGTCCCCCTACTACTTCCTTCTACCACCCTCTCTTCTCCCCCTACATATCAGGCGTTAGCATTTTAAAACCTGTGTCTTTATATGATCTCAAAATGCACTGTACTTTAACTTCTATTCTTAGTGAGTCCTTTCAATCTGTTTTATCCCACTTTATTTTTCTTTCAACACTCAATACTCTGTTTTAGATATGAACATGCTGTTTTACTTCTATAGAATGTTTAAAGGCAAAGCCTCCCAAAGGGCCAAAGCAATGGACTATTAAGGGCTTTAGCTTCTACCATCTTCTGTTGGTTTTATGTGCACTTTTCTGCTTATCATATATATCTTTTTCAGGGGATGTTTTCTGGGGATTTGCTGTATAGTTTTTTGTATAGGCTTCGGAGTTTATATCCTTGCAAACTCTTAGGTTTTTTCTCATCTTTTTCATGCAATATATTACCTTCTGCTTGCTCAAAAAAGGGAACAAAAGTTATCAACAATTTACATAACAAGGCACTGATACATTATTTTGGTGGCTACCCTTGTACAAGTGTCTAATTTGCTGACTTTTTTTTTTGATAAGTAAATGAAATTTTATTAATAAACATCAAAATAACAAGCATTACAAGGATCCCGTAGAGAGGTGTGAGGACGAGGTGCAGCCTCGCCTGGTCACTACAAACATGATAACTTTGCCAATACAAGTGACCCCTGTTTATTTTTTGCTTTGCTCAATGTGTCTAATTTGCTGGCTGGAAAACATAAATTGTGTACATCTACATACATTTTATTTCATGCATGTATACTAAGATATGCTTTTAATGTGTGTTGATTTATGCTTGAAAATAAATGCTAAATATATAAGTTCACTTAAGAAGTTAGCATGCATTGCAGCTGAAGAATGTCATATAAAATTACAAATTGTTGAAAATAAGAGAGTGAGAGATGGTGAAGTTTTGGTTTAGTATCATCAACAGCATGTGTCAATAACCCAGGTCCTTCTGGTATTGGAGGGGTTTTTAGCGGTGGTGAAGACAGAGTTGTTGGATTATATTTGAGCCTTATTGGAGTAGGCGATTAACTAAGGGCGAGGTTATGGCTGTCATGGAAGGGAGTTCCAAAGACAAAGGAATTGAATACAAAGAAGTTGATTCAAAGTTAGTAGTGGAATGGCTGCAAAAGGAAGAAAATGGTTTCTGGATTTTCAGCAATGAGAAAAATAGATTTTAAGTGGCTGACTAAAGATGTGGATGTGCAATTCAGCTGGGTTAAAAGGACTGCAAATGCTTTTGCTGATGTTTTAGCAAAACAAATGGGCCGGAAGGAATCGATTGTTTTGGGCTCAATTGTAATTGCATTTTTGTTGTGGAGAGGTAAGACAGTTTACCTCTCCCAATCCTGTAATTATTTATTTTTATAAATCTAATGAAATTCTGTTATTGCTCCAAAAAAAGCAATAAGAGGCATCTGAATCAAGAAAATAAGTGTTTAGTAAATGTTCTTTTTTGTTTTATTGGTAACTTAGACTTTACTAAAATAAGATGGAGGTGATATAAGTATTACTATCAAGCCTTCTAAGGTACGTGGGATATGGGCAATACTTGGTTCCTGTCCTACCCCGTTGGAGGACATGCGTCCTACCACCTCTTGATTTTCAGATTTAAACCCTGAAATCTAAACCCAAAAATTAAACTCTAAACCCTTAAACCCTAAAAACCCTAACCCTAACCCTAAACCTTAAATTTATTCTATAAAATGCCTTTGGTAGGACGCATGTCCTCCAACAGGGTAGGAGCCAAATATTTTCCGGTGGGATAATAGAAAAACCAGCCTTTACTCTATAACAAATGTAATAAATTTCTACAGAGATCACAAAGTCATTTAACTAAAACAACAAGAGCATGTGAAATGTCTTTCTGCATGTTTAAAATCTACTCTTAGTTATCTCATTTCCTCTCTGATTTATTTTTGGTGTTGTAATTTTTGGTAGTGTTTGTTTTTTCCTTTTCAGGCCACATCATCATCTACTGTTCAACAAGGTACATTGAATCAGGACCAAGCTGAAGAGACAGCTTCCCAGGACAGTAATTCTGATATTGCCCCAAGGACTCCACCTTCTAAAAATGGTGTAGTGGGTTCTGGGGCTTCATTGATAGCAGCAGGGAGTCATGCAACTACGCTTACTAGCAATATTTCAACACGTAATTTGGCTAGTGGGTCAACTGCTTCAGCAATCCTTTCAACTCCGGGGTCTATTCGTGGTGTTCTGGATACTTCTGCTGCTACCGTTTCTCCATCCCCGGTAAACTTGTCTAATTCTACAAAGGAGGAAGATAACACAAGCTTTGCTAGTCGGAGATCGTCACCATCTCTTGCTGAAACTGGTATAGGGAGAGGAATTGGTAGAGGGTCTATAGGTGGTGTATCCAGCCAAACATCAAATAATACACCTCTAGGTTCTGGCAGTATACTTCCTAGCAATGGAGCACTTGGGGCAGTTCCTGCAGTTCCTGACATGTCAAAGAAGAATACTTTAGGTGCTGATGAGAGAACAGGAAGCAGTGGTATCATGCCACCATTGGTTTCCCCTCTAAGCAATAGAATGCTCTTGTCACAGGTCTCTAAGGGGAATGATGGAACTGTTTCTGCTGATTCTATTAATGTTAGTGAGGGTGTAGGTGGCAGAACTTTCTCCCCTTCAGTAGTTCCAGGTGCCCAATGGAGACCTGGAAGTTCATTTCCAAGTCAGAATGATGCGGTATTCTACTTTGTTATCCCATATTTCATGCTTCACCACAGTGTTACAATGCATCTTTCTATGCAATTTCTTAGCAAATGCTACATTTTTTTTTAGTTTTTCTTTATTTCTTAATGAACCATAAATGGATTTTCTAAATCTTGCAATGTTATCTACCAATTATCACATTGGAGAAACTATTACTTACTCTCAATTACTCTTGCCTTTTTGCATGCACTCTTTATTTAGTGATATATTGATTAACCATTTAACCTTGTTTGTCTTTTTAGTCTTCTATGTCCCTAATTTGTTCAAATCTTAATAGCTCTTCCTTTTGCCATGATCTGTTATGAAACATGCTTAATTCCCAAGGTTTCCCTTACTGCTAGTACTTTACAGTACCTGGGAGATGGAAACCCCTACAACTTTTATCTACCTGCCTTTTTTATTTATTTTTGTTGGGAATGGATATAATTTATTAAAAAGAAGCAAGGGCTAGAAAAAACTCTTTCTGAAATGCAGATGAGAGCTAGCTTCATTGCTACTTTCCAACAAAATGCAAATGTGATACCCCCAGATACAATTGTCAATAATCAAAACACTACTCAAGGGGTTGTGGGCCCCAATGCAATTAACATCTAGCTAAAGAATCAGTAAGAGTGTTTGTCTATCTGAGAACCTGATTGAAGGAGGAATTCATGCTGGAAGCTAGAGATCTAGCTTCACTAATTGGAAAAAGAAAAAAGTTTCGGTCGAATGTTTTCTACAGTAGATAATGGTGATGATGTTGTGGTTGGGCCTACCATTGCTACAGTGCTCATGGTGCCAACATGGTGCTTTCCATACTGAAACATGACACCATTTCATAAAAAATAAGGAAAAAGCAAAAATACATAGACCTTTAAAAGGAGATTTGGGCCGAAATTAAAAAGCCCATCTAAGGGACCCAATGCACATTTAAGTTGGCACGTGAGGGGGAGAGTGGCATCGATAGATGGTAACAACCATCTATCATCATCTTCGTTGAGCTCCACAGGCTGAAGCCAGCTGTCTTCGAATCTCCCTGTACCTGGGAACTCACTATGATGGGTCGCGCCGGAGAAGACGAACACGGTGTTGCTGGAAAAAAGAAACCCTAGGTGTATCAGACAAAGGGATTTAGAGAGGCTGGAGTTGTTTTCTCATTCTGAGGAGGAAGATTTCAGTGCCACTGATTCAGACGACACACTAAGTTTAGGGAGTATCGACCTAAGCAGCTCAAGGAATGTGTTTGATGAAGACAGTCCTGGAACAGAGGTACTTTTTCAAGAGAACAAGGAAGAAGATGAGGCACCAAAGTTTGAGGAAGTCGTCGTGAAGGTTAAAGATCAGTTGCCTAAGGCTACGGTTCAGGTGCCGCTTGTACCTGCAAAGGAAGTCAGTCCATTAGTGCAGGAAGAGCAGGATATGATGCTGGGAGGAAACTCTTCTCACGCTCCAACCTGCAACGTAACACTAGAAGAAGGACAGAAATGGAAGTCTTTCACCTATTAAAGCAGACAGGGTTTTGATTCACAGTGTAAACTCTCTCACGCAAGCTCAGTCACAGGGAACAGCTTTAGGCCCATCTCCTTATGAGAATCCCTCTCCCTTGGAAGTTGTCCCCTCAGTCCCAAACATTACAGGTACTGTTGTCCATTCGGTTTTGGTTACTAATGTGCCTTCTGTGCTTGAAACAGATACACTAGCATCCCGAGCGGAAGTTCCAGTAGGGGGGATGAGAAGAGAGACTGGCAGCTCCGAGTGTGAACTGAGAGAAGGTGAGATGGCAGTGGAAGAGGGACAGAAGGAGGAACTAGAGAGAATTTGGGAGAGAATCTGCGCGTTGTTGGAGGAGTATAAAGAGAGGGAGGAGAAACTAGATCAAAGGGAGAGAGTAACAACTTTTCAAGAAAAGGACTATTACAGGAGCTCTAATCTGGGGGGGAGATAAATGAAGCTAGTGCCTTAATGAGGAAGACTAAGGGTAACAATAGGAGAAAAAAGAAAAAGAGATCTGAAGTGGAGAGATTGATTTCGGATATTGAGGGTGATATTGAATTTAGTGGGAGAGGGGAAAGAAAGACTTTGCTTTAAGGTGGAGTCTTTGAGAAGAGGTTTTTTCGAAAAAGTGCTTGATGAAGATCATTAGCTGGAATGTAGAGGCTTGGGAAGTGAAAGAAAGAGAAGGGCAATTAAAGATTTGTTGAGGAGAGAGAAGCCGGACATCGTCTTGATGCAGGAAACCAAGCTGGCAGAATTGGATAGAAGATGGATCAGAAGTGTATGGAGATCAAGAGGAGTTTGTTGGACTTCGGCGCCGTCCTATGGAGCCTCTGGAGGTCTAGTAACCTTATGGAGGGAGGATGCTGTAGAATCAGTGGAGGAGCTAATAGGAAGATTTTCTGTGTCCTTAAAGGTTAGGAATGTGGGGGATGGCTTCACCTGAGTTTTAACCAATGTCTATGGGCCAAACTCGTATAGAGAGAGGAGTGAGATGTGGGAAGAGTTGTATGCCATACGAGGTTTGTGGGAGCGTCCTTGGTGTCTTGGGGGGGACTTTAATGCAATTAGGTTTTGTACCGAATCTAATAACCCCCAAAGGACAATTACAACCAGCATGAGGAAGTTTAATGATTTCATTAATAACTGTGGTCTAAAGGAGTTACCTCTCTTACAAGCCAATTTTACATGGTCAAATTTTCAAGAAAACCCCCTTTGCTCGAAATTAGATAGATTCCTCTTTACTGAAGAGTGGGAGAACCATTGAACGAACTTGATGGCTAGAGCCTTACCTAGAGTCACCTCTGGTCACTGCCCTATCCAACTAAGTCCTAAAACCTTAACTTCTGGTCCTCGGCCTTTTAGATTTGAGAATATGTGGTTAACTCATCCGGATTTTGTGCACTTGATTGGGGAATGGTGGAGAGAAGAATTAAGAGGAGTGAATTGGAAGGGAGTAAGATTCCACAAAAATATTGAAGAGGTTGAGATCCAAAATTAAGGAGTGGAATAGGGAACACTTTGGAAGGATAGAGGAGCAAAAAATTGACTTGATGTCCAGGATTGAGGAACTTGATTCCAAGGAAGCTCAAAGGATGATGAGTGAGCAAGAACGGGTTTTGAGATGAAATCTAAAGAAGGACCTGGAAGAGGTCCTTTTGAGAGAGGAAATCTCGTGGAGGCAAAAGTTGCGACATAATGGAGTAATGAAGGGGATGGAAATACTAAATTTTTCCATGCATTGGCTAATGGGAGGAGAAGAAAAATTTTTGTGGCTAAGTTAGAGGTGAATGGGGAGGAATTCACAAATCAAGATGAGATAGCCAGATGTTTTGTGGATCATTTCAAATCAATCTATAGGAAATCGTTGAATAATAGGCCAACCTTGGAAGACTTGGAGTGGACTAGATTGTCTGAAGAACAAGCAAACTGGTTAGAAAGGGACTTTAGTGAAGAAGAGATCAGACAGACAGTGTTTTCAATGGATAGATCCAAAGCACCTGGTCCAGATGGCTTTACAATGGCTTTCTATCAGGGTCGTTGGGATGTGGTCAAAGAAGACCTTGTTGGGGTGTTTCAGGAATTTGTAGATAAAAAAACGGTGAGCCCTAGAGTCAATGCTACCTTCCTAGCCCTAATCCCAAAGAAGGCAGATGCAAAGAACCCTAAGGACTATTGGCCAATCAGTCTAGTGACAAGCATCTATAAAATCCTGGCTAAAGTGTTGTCATTTAGAATCTGAGTAGTACTACCCTCCATCATCAATCAAGAACAAGGTGCTTTCGTGCAGGGAAGGCAAATAATGGATCGGATCCTAATAGCAAATGAGTGCGTGGAGGACATGAGAAAGTCAGGAACCCAAGGTTTCGTTTATAAACTAGATTTGGAGAAGGCTTATGATCTTGTGCATTGGAGTTTTTTACTAGAGGTCCTAGGGTGCTGTGGGTTTGGAGCTAGATGGTGCAATTGGGTAAAGGGCTGTATTAGTTCCTGCCATTACTCCGTTTTGGTTAATGGGGTGGTGAAAGACTTTTTCCCAGCTTGTAGAGGCCTTAGACAAGGTTACCCTCTCTCCCCTTTTCTTTTTACCCTAGTTGCAGATGTCTTTAGTAGATTAATCTCTAAAGCAGATAGGGAAGAGGAAGTTAGAGGCTGGAGGATTGGAAGGAACAATGTCCGGGTAACCCACCTGCAGTTTGCCGATGGTATCATAATTTTTTGTGAAGGGGGCGACAGGCGGGAAGTGAGAAATCTCAAAGCATTGTTACAACACTTTGAGAATGTCTCCAATTTGAAGATAAACCTAGATAAGAGTTGTGTGGTAGGGGTTAATCTGAATGAGAGGACTTTGCAGTCTGTGGCGGATTGTTTAGGTTGTCCCATTTCTTCTTGGCCCTTGCAGTATCTTGGTCTCCCTCTAGGGGCTTAACCCAAAGGAGAGTAGATTTTGGACCCCATTTCTGGAAAAGTTTGAGGGAAGATTAGCTTCTTGGAAAAAGAACTACATTTCCATAGGGGGTCGAGTGACTTTATTGAGAGCTACCCTAGCAAATTTACCGGTTTATTTTCTCTCTATCTTTAGGATTCCTATTAGGGAAGCTAAGAAGTTGGAGAGGATAATGAGATCTTTTT